GATACCAACAAGTAAGGCACTGCTATCACTCCATACCGGGCAAGCAGCTAGTACACAGAGAGCTGACCCGCTTCAAGGCCCTCTGCGCCGCTGAGATGCACCTACCAAGGGGCGTCTCTACGTTGTACGCTATGCTACTGGAAGCCACTCGGAGCCGCCTGCGACATACCAATCTAAATGGGAACAAGCCACGGGAACCACCCTGTCGAACTCAGAATGGGAGAAGATTCACACTCTTGCGCATCAAGGTACGACCAGTGCGAAACTGCAGGAACTTAATTACAAGCTCATGACTGGCTGGTACAGGACGCCCTCTCGGCTATTCCATATGGGTCTGACACCTACAGCCCGCTGCTGGAGATGTGAGGAAGATGAAGTTTCATGTGTATTTTGGCAACAAATACACATGAAACTAAGGGAGATCTTGGACTTGGACATACCGATGCAGCCCCTCCAGATGCTCCTCCACCACACTACGATGTCCCTTGGTGTATACAAGAAATCTCTCACAAGACACTTTCTGAATGCCGCCAAGAGCCTGATTCTGGCCCGATGGAAGACAAATGCGGTACCAACGGTATCGAACCGGATGGAAAAGGTGGAAGAAATGTATAGCATGGAGAGCCTCACAGCAGACCTGAGTGGGACGGGGGAGAAATGCACCCAACCATGGGCGCCCTGGATTGAATACATGGCCCTCACATCGGCGAGACAACGAGCGCTGGAGACCGAGTAGACGGGCGACTGAACATGAACTCGTGACATGGGAGCTTGGACATGGGCCAGGGGTGTGCTGCCAGACTCTCCCCTTCCCCCTCTCCCCATCTTGGCTGATCCCCTTTTCTTCCCCCCTCCCCCCACCTTGGAAAATGACGCCTTGCACGGGGCACTCCAGACTAACCCGGAACTCACACACTATGGACTCAAGACCAAATATATCTTGACAGATAACAGACGGGACATCATTAGCTTAGAGTATGGGACTGAAGCACCCGAAAATCTGCTGTATACTATAATGGTACTAGTTCTAGAACAAGTTTCGTGTTAGGTCTTAGTGCACGCGAGTTATCTAACTGCTTGATGGGCCGCCTTGGACACGACCTTCCTGTTTAAGGTCATTCAGAAAATGTTTAAATGTTTATCTAGCACAGTTGCAACCGGTTGTTCTGTTCATAACTGGGGGGGGGGGGGAAGAGAGCTAGTATATTCGGATGTGTTGTAAACCAATTGGACTATGTACGCTTTCAGTTTGCCTATTCTCTGTACAAATGTATACAATGCCTCAATAAAAACAAAGATTGCCAAAAAACAAAACAAAAAAAACCAATGAAATAGAATGTAAACGAACTAAAAAAAAATCTAGAAAAAATTAAAGTGAACTATTATCAAGACAATAATAAAATAACTAAATGGTTAACCAACAAGCTGAGAAGGAAATCTGGGAAAAATAGGATAACAGGTATTAAAAAAGATCAGATAGAATATAGAAATCCAGAAACCATAGCTAAAATTTACAAGATCTATTATGAGGACTTCTATAATATTGTGAAACAACCTGATAGCTAAATATTTGAAGGAAACAGAATTACCTAAAATAACACAGGAACAAAACAACAATACGAATGCCCCTCACACTAAATTAGAATTTAAACCAGCCATTTTAAGACCCCTGGTCTAAATGGGATGACTAATACATTTTATAGGATTTATAAACATAAATTGAGTGAACATTTAGCCAACGGTTTTAACGAGATTGTAGATAAGGGTTCTGGACCAAAATAAATGCTCTATGCAAATATAATACCAATTCTTAAAAAAAAGACAGATCCTTTGGAACTTAAGAACTATCGCCCAATCTCTCTAATAAATGTAGTCTCTAAGCTTTTCTTGGCAATAGTAACTGAGAGGAAAAATAATATTTTACCTAGTTTAATTCATGAAGACCA